TATTTACCACACCAATTCCTGGTCTGAAGGAAAAAATAGATTTGCAATAAATCCTTTAAGTCGTAATTTGTAGTTTTGTTTTCACAATTTTGTAGGAACAATAGTGGGTTTTATTCCCTATGGAAATGACTTATTTTGGCATTGTTATAACGGTAGTTCAGTAAAAGAAGAATGTGTTGCTTCATGTATATGTAATCAATTATGGAGTAAAATGATGTATGCACAACTACTATTAGATAAAATTATATATTTAAAAACTGGTGAGTTTCTTGGGTATTGAACTGAATGTTTCCTCATTGATGCTAACCTTTGCAACCTACAAAGTAAACACGAAGTATCTACTTAGAAATAAGCATAGGAAAATACAGAATTTTCAGCGTAGCTCCTGACTACAAATTTTGTAAGGAAAAAAAAAAAAAAAAACCTTAGCTTGCTTCAAAATAGATTGCATATCTACTTGCTAAATCACCAACAGAATTTGAAACCCCCTACTGTATATCAAAAAGGCATTAGAATTTAAGTAAATGTTCAAAATTATAATTTGCAATGAAACATATTTTACTTTGATGTTGTTTTTGTATTACAGTTCTGCAAGTTATTTTACTTAATTGAAAATATAAAATTTATTTTAAAAATAACCCTCAAAAGGACTACAATAGGATGAATAAAAGTGTTCAGGTTTTGAAGGATCAATAGAACAAATTTCAACTTCCAATAACCTACCAAAATTAGAAAAGAAATACATTTAACACAAATATTTTCATAGACTCATAGCACGTTAGCTACTAACAGATATTAGGAGTGAAACTTTCCTAACTTAATGAAGTATTTCTTGTACACTTTATTTTTTGTATATAGCTTAATGGAAACTGGGTGTAGCTTTTAAAATATATTTTATGTTCAGAATCCTCTTATTTCAATAAGATGGAATATTTCCACTAAAATATGAGTAATGAAATCCATGATCAGAATTGCTTTACAAATTTCATATATTAAGGGTAAACATATCTTATTTGTATATTATTTTAATTATTCCTGAACTTGATTAGCATAATAGAGAGATCAAAAATTAATTAGGTAATTTCTAACACTATAGTCAATGTTTAGATATTTAGTTAAAACTTCAATCAGCTGTTAATGTTATATTATTGGATAATCTCAAAGAGAAAATACATTTATGTTTGTTCCAGAGGCAATTTAGACACCTCTCCTTATACAGAGAAAAAAATGGAGTATGGTGGTAGTTGAATGGTTCATAAGCATAAATTAAGCTACTTAGGATGATCTGTTATCCTAATATGCATTGTCTGTTCTAAATATCAAAATTAACCATTTTTAACTAACATTTATTAAGTCATGACTTTTGAGGGATTGTTTTAAAAGTGATACAAAGCTAACTGGTATTTAAGATTTAGCTGGATAGAATGTCATTTAATTAATTATTTATTTATTTAGAGGCAGAGTCTCTCTCTGTCGCCCAAGCTGAAATGCAGTGGAGTGATCTTGGCTCATTGCAACCTCCACCTCCTGGGTTCAAATGACTCTCCTGCCTCAGCCTCCTGAGTAGCTGGGATTACAGGGGCACCCCACCATGCCTGGTTAATTTTTGCATTTTTTAATAGAGATGGGATTTCACCATGTTGGCCAGGCTGGTCTCTAACTCCTGGCCTCAAGTGATCCACCTGCCTGGGCCTCCCACAGTGCAGGGATTACAGGCGTGAGCCACCGCACCAGGCCAAAATGTCATTGAAATGAAAGAACTCCTTAACTAAAAACTTGACATCTTTGGGAAAAAAAAAAAAAAAAAAAAAAAAAAAAAAAAAAAAAAACCCTACCTTGACCATATTTAAGGTTGAATCCTATGAATTTTGTCATACCTGTCATCTCATATACTTTAATATAAAACAGTACCCTTTAAGTTGAAATAATTTCTTAAGATGGAAATATCCAGTCTATCATTGATGGCATTTGGATTGTATTTGCTTTGCTTTACTATTGTAAACAGTGCTGCAATACACATACTTGTGCATGTGTCTTTATAGTAGAATGATTTATAATCCTTTGGGTATATACCCAGTAAGGGGATTGCTGGGTTAAATGGTATTTCTGGAAATACACGTGTTCTTGTTTACTACACACTTTAGCTTATTTAATAGTACAAAGTTATACACAAAATGAAATTTAAGATAAAAAATTACAGGATTAACCTCTGAGAAATATCTCGAAGTTAGAACAATGTCTAACTTCTGTGTGGTGTTTTTTTTTTAAATTTCTATCAACTGAAAAATCCTTGCATTTAACACGTTTCCTCTAAATCTATAAAAATGAATCAGCAGCTGAATCCTCCTTTTCTTCTGACTCTTCTACTAACAGCTAGGATGGGGGCACAAACAACTTTAAAGTCGAAAGGAAACTCAAACTCAAGTGAGACCCTAAAGTAGAGGTAAATAGTGGAAGCTCAAACTAACATGCACCTACAAAAAACATGTGATAACATTCCACTGCCCTAATCATAGATATGATGTGTGAACCAAAGTAGAACTGAGACGAACCCTTAATTTAAGCAGATTCATCAGAATTTTTGGCTTTACTTTCGTTTGATTTTTTTCTGTAGGCTTATAAAATGTTATTGTATAGATTTTAAAACTTTGTATATTCTACTTAAAAAAATTGAAGTTGGAGATATAAATTCAATTCCAAAGAGACAAAGGCAAACTGAAGCTCAAGATCTTCATCTGAACATCTATCAAGTGATAAGGAAATCGTATGCAGTAATTGTGGTATTATGAATGCAACTAAAAACATACACACACACTCATAGACTATGTATTATAAAGATCTTGTACATGAGTCCTTTTTTTTTTTTTTTTTTTAGAAATGAATACAAATTAGTGCTCATTTGACAACACAGTATTAGAAATTCACACACCCGGAAACTGAGAAATATAAAGCCTGACTGTGGGCTTTGGTCCTAAAAGAGTGCTAAGCAGTCCTTGCCACCAAAGCAGTTTCCCCCCTCATACCCCAACCCCATTTCCAAACCTAACAAATTTACAGAAAGGGAGGTTCACATTTATGCTAAAAAATGGAAAGATCAAGGGTAGGCCACTTAAATAAAATACTAATTAGAAAATTAATAAAATTTGAAAGACAATTCAAAACATGGTTTTTCTCTTTAATTTACCACTCTGTTGTCTAGACAACATTTTCCTTATTTGGGCATTCATTTGCTCTCATAAGCAAAATAATTATTTAAATCTCCACTGCAACCAAAATGCATCACATTCAATCATAGCTTATATCTTCTCCATTCATATGTATCCTTACAAAAGCACATATATAAAAATGGTATTTATTCATTTGAAGAGGAAATTACTTTTCACTAGTAATCATCTAACCTGTAAAATCATCAACCTTAGGATAAAAAGAATGGTCTTCAGAATGTAAAGCTAATTACTAGCAATGATTTAAGGAAATCCAAAAATGTGTTTCAATGACATTATGAAATTTAGACACCACGAAATTCAGATAAAATTTCAATTTGTGATTATTTGATAACATAAAAAATCTGCACTGCTTCTTTAAATTTAGAGATGGATACTAACATTTCAAACTTTTGTGAACACCTTTGAAAGCAGCTACAACTTCCTGGAACCTAAAATAGTAAATCCAGGCAGTTCATGGAAATTAAACGATATGAGGAGGGAGGGATTCACTCTCCTTCTCTTTAATTTTCTGTTTTTGCTTGATTCCCTACAGAGACTTTGCTTGTGGAAAAACTGAAAGTACTGTCATCAAGCAAGTAAATGCATAAATGTGTTATATTCTCAGAAATATATGGAAAACCAAATATATAGAAAACAAAAAATGTTGAAAGATGTGGCTACATCTACTGCAAATGTTGGAATTAAATGTTTACTATTCATCTACTCTACTTAAGATCACCAAATATATTAAATAATAGTTAAGGACACTCACTGACAAGAAACATGACCATTGCTTGAGAACCCTAGCAAAAAAAATTGGTGTATATATGACTCTGATCTAAATCTGATTTGCCACTCCCAGTTCTCTATGCTTTGAAATATTTCCTGTGTTCTTTCATAAATTACTTTCTCAGTGACTTATTGGGGCAGTATAGAACAAGTTGGTGAAGGCTCCATTAGCTACATAATTTTGTGATGAGAAAACTGGCAGAGGAAGAAGAGGAAGGAGGAAGGAGGAAGGAGGAAGGAGGAAGAAGAAGAAGAAGAAGAAGAAGAAGAAGAAGAAGAAGAAGAAGAAGAAGAAGAAGAAGAAGAAGAAGAAGAAGAAGAAGAGGAGAAGGAGGAGGAGGGGGAAGAGGAGGAGGAGGAGGAGAAGAAGAAGAAGAAGAAGAAGAAGAAGAAGAAGAAGAAGAAGAAGAAGAAGAAGAAGGAGAAGGAGAAGGAGAAGGAGAAGGAGAAGGAGAAGGAGAAGGAGAAGGAGAAGGAGAAGGAGAAGGAGAAGGAGAAGGAGAAGGAGAAGGAGAAGGAGGAGAAGGAGAAGAAGGAGGAGGAGGAGAAGGAGGAGAAGGAGGAGGAGAAGGAGAAGAAGGAGGAGGAGGAGAAGGAGGAGAAGGAGGAGGAGAAGAGGAAAAAGAAGAAGAAGGAGGGAAGGATGAAGGAAGAAGAAATTTTAATGTAAACTGGGAAGTAGATTATCAAAGTTATGTTGTTATGTTTAGCTAGCATGAACACTGAAATAAGCCACAAAATGAAAGAAAAAATTCTATATCTGTGTCTCAGCTGTTGAATTTGAAGTTAGGGAAAATGGATGCTTCTAACAATGAGTGATAAAAGAGAATCAAACTTTTCAGTTCTTATTCAAGGAGATTGAAAATTGATGAAAACTGTATAGAGAAGATTAAACATTATGCCTGTTTTAGGGGGAAATGTTGCTAGAATATAACAGGCTCCATCGTGCTGTTTCCTCAAAACTGGTGAAAGTTAGCATCACTAAATATCCATGGGTTTCCTTACTTGTGCATGCCATTGTGGGTGGATCAGACTCTCTCCTGAAATAATCCTTTTCACAGACACAAGAGGTTGAAGCTTCCTCATGGGTATAACTGTGAGGTGGACATTTGCCGCAGCTCTGGATGTGAGGTGAGGCTTTGAAGAACCCAGGTCTGCACACTGTCAAAAGAAATAAGAGACTAAGCTTTTGCCTGGAACAGATGCAGTGTTTGTTTTGTGAATAATGTCATTATTTTGACTAGCATACGTAGATTACAGATAACACAATCTTTGCATCAATTTCAAGAATTTTTCATAAGCTTCTGGATAATAAATACCAGGCCATTCATTCAAATAGTCAAACATTTATTTAAAGTACTTAAACATTTATGGAATGTACATACTTGTAATGATTTTTATGCTACAGGAGCTTATAAGGAATTATATTGATAAAAGGCAAATACTTATATGTATTTAAAACAGTGTTTTGTGTATGATTTTCACTGACTCTATCGTTACTACAACTATGTTGAAGAAGTAAATATTATTCCAGGTACTGCTAAAATGGTGTGATACAAAGTAGGCACACAACATTATGTTATTGAATAATAAATTAATTAGTATGTGCTAAATGCCTCATAAATTCTGTTAGATTGGGGAAAATGCATAGATGACCTGATATATCAACTATATTATTTTGATTTCAGGGGAGTCAAATTTTTGACTTTTTTTTTTTACATTTACTTCTTTTTAGAACTTTTCTTTGAGACACCTACTGATTCAACATTTATCCATTCTAATATCAGACAGGCTTATTTACTATACAAATTATAATGATTTCTTAAGCACAAACATTATGTCTTATTCACTTTTGCACTTACTTTTTCCAGTGTTTGACCACAAAAAGCATTCAAAGAGTTCTATGAAATGTGTGAATGAATGAATGGAGTGGCATAAATGTTATAACTGAACTATTTAAAATCGCATAAAGAAAGTGTTTTCTGATATTTCTGTGAGCATTTCTAAGCTTATCATCAGGTAAATGTGCAGTAAATCTTTTTATTCTGTGGATTTTCTACATGTTCATATTATTCTTATTTCTCAATGGCTAAAAAGCCAAACTTTAATATGCTAATTGCTCAGTATGGGTCACTTGAAGACTACCAAACTGATGGTCTGAATGCTTTGTGTAGCTTACTTTACATAAAGTTAATCAACTATGTTTTTCTGTTTTCAAAGCTCACTACATATACTGAAGTAGCGTATACATTTGCTGAAGCTCAAAGGTGAACTTGTATTTCAGTAGAAATTTCTGATAGATATAATGAATTGGGACCAACTTTCATATGCTATAAATGATTTCATGTTTTAGTAATCCATGCTAAGGCTCTGCCATCACCATGAATAATCAGAAACTGGCAAAATTGAGAAGATACTCTTTTCAGTAGATCTAATTATAGTGATAGTAAAGCCTTAATGCTCTTATAAATTCTGAGAGAATGTGAAGGTATTTGAAAGATAAGAAGAGCTTTTTGATAGTATTAGGGACATTCTTGTAGTAAATGATTAGGAGAAGATTTAAAATATTATTTTTCTTATAATAGGATTGCTGTAGCAGCCTATACCGTACTTAGCTAAGTTATTCAATTTTTCTTCTTTTATCCTTTTAGTAAAACCATTCTCACTTTAAACACTATTTGCTTCAAAGACATGAAGTGTCAATTCATATGTTCTAAGTATTTGGAATTCATTTACCATTCATGAAACAAAAGTCATTTCTCTTCTTTTTAATGAATGTCTCTTAACGTAAGCACTTTATATTATATCACATATAACACTGCTGTTCAAACCCCCAAGGGAGCTTTGGAAATATAAAGTAATAAAAATCAAAGTAAAAAGTAGATAAATGTATCTTTCTGTTCAGTTCAATAAGATGTTTTCGACAGGTATAGTGGGCCAGTAACTCTACTTGGACTGGCTTCAGAGGTAAATGAGATAGACATGGCCTTGCCTTTATGAATCTTAAAAGTATTCCATAAATATTATAAATATTACTACACTAGGAAAAGGAAAAAGAGCTATAGCAGTAAACATAGATACCCAATTTAATCTGGATTATTTATAGAGACTTCCCTCAGGAAGCTGAGTTTCTGCTTATATTTGAATGATTATGAAAATTATTTAATTTGAGTTAGAGTGTATCAGTACCTTAAAGGGAGAAATCCTTGCAAAGGACTACATCTGGTGGAGAACAAATAGGGAAATGGAAGATACTAAAGAATTGATCAGGAAGATAGTCGGAATAAAGTGGAAGAGTCAAGTTTATACAGGACAGAGGGCACCAGGACACAAAAACCTTATATACTTTATTAGATATTTGGTACTTTATTTTATAGGCAAAGGGAGGTTATTGGAAAATTCCCCTCACCCCAGCTTTATTAAGGTTTAACTGACAAATGAAAATTGTATATATTCAGAGTAACTGCAAAGTTATTAAGCCAGGGAATAATGAGATCAAAGTAGTGTTTATGAGATCATTACACAGCAGCCTGGGTAAAAAAAGCAAGAACAGAGGCAAATAGCTCTTTTGTTTCTATTGCATTGGTCCAGAAAGAGACAATATCACTTAACCAGAGTGGTTCCAGTATTGATCAATAAAACAGGGCGAATTCAATAAATGAGAATGGGGTAAAATCAACTAGATTTCATGATGTATTTAATGGGTTAGATGACTTAGCGGAAAATTGTAAGAGTGACTGTAAGGCATTTGACTTAAACTTCACAGAAAATACTGGTGCCATTTTCTCAGAGAACAGGACATGAAATGTGTTGGAGAAGATAATGAGTAATATCTAAGGCATTATTTAATTTGAGGTGGTTGAAGTAATGCAAATAGATTTTTAGAGAGAGAAAAAAAATGTGTGGTTCAATATTATCCAAGAAAAATATCATAAACTGTAATTATTTATCACCTTCAAATCGTGACCCTAAATTCCAAGGGGTCATAGAACCCTTCTAGACAAAGTTATGTTATTCCCTTAGTTAACTTCATTTCCAGCATCAACAGGATTTTCTCGTAACGTCTCCTCTTACTTCAAACTCCTTATGAGCTCTGTTTCTGTTACTATCTGCTGATGTAGTCATTTGTCTTGAGAAAATAAAAGTTGTCAGAAAGAAACTTACTCATTCTCCTACCACCAAATCTCCAAACCTATATGTCATGATACCCATCTTCTCTACATTTATTTCTATCAAAATAAAATAAAATGTATCCGTGTTCATATCAAATGAAAATATCTGTATTTGAATTAGGAACTCCCACTCTGCTCTTTGAGATGAAGCTTCCGAGTAGCTACAATTCTTTTGAGATGCTCAAAAACAAAGCAGAACAAAACAAACAACAAAACTATCAACCTCACATGATACCAATTTTCCCAGTTTTGTTCCACTTTCAGGATATGATTTCTTAAATTATTGTCCATACATACATCTGTCATTTCTCATTCTAAATCACAGGATGACTCACTCCACTCCATTGGCACCTCTCAATGAAAACCACTTTTGTTAAGATTGCAGTTACTTTCTTGCCATACTCACTTCTCAGCAATATTTGACATGTCCCCTTTTAGGAAACTCCAGATATTTTCAGTAGAAAATGATAGGATAGTCTACAAGTTTCCAAGTAATATTTAAAAACTCTTTAAAGGCAGTCTCCCACCATACTCATTGTCTCCATCCATACCAGTCTACTTATTTCCTGTATTTGAGAAACTCTTCTTCTCTGCCTCTGAACACTGCAGGAAAAGCATTCTGGGCCAAAAGACAAGACACGTAAATAAATACATGTATAATCTTCTTTTCTTTCTTTTTGAAAAAGCATGTAGTCCACAATAAGAGATTTGAATGTAATCTGAAAGCATTTGGAAGACACTGAAGATATAATTTGATTTTTGAGTGCACACGTTCTGTCAAGAACTGTGACAAAACATGTTTGGACTGTGTGAGGAAAAAAAAATGTTCTTCACACCCATGAAGCTACAGTGTATTTCATGGGTGGAATAAAAAATAATAATAATAAACAAACAATGATGGGGGCAAAATTGACATTTTACATTTTAATCATGGCAATATTTAAGAAATAATTATCTAGATAAGTAGTAAAATTTATTTAAATACCAACCCAATATGGTTTATTAAACACAAATGAAGTTTCCGAAGCAAAGTTGTTTCATACGATGACTATACATTACCTAAATATCATTTAGAAAACACTGTGCCAGTCATTTAAGTTGAGCACAGAGTAGAAGACAAAATAATGCACCCCGTGTTGACATGTTTTATGAGACTATTGTGGCAACCTCCTGGGGGACAGAAAATCATGTTTAATAATTATTTCTAACCATGCTTGAAGGCTCATTTTTTAAATGCAACCATTTCCATAGTATATATGCTAATCTGCAGGAATACATGTTCTTTCCCTACTTATCCTTTAAGCCTTTGAGCCATCTATTTAGCACCTATTTAGAAATTTGCTGTACAATCTTATGAGAAATTGTTTAAAGGTCCTCAAAATTACCAAAAAAAATTAAACTGGAAAATTGTATTGATTTTTCATAATATTTTAAATTAAATTACTTTTAATGTCTCCAATATATATTACCCTTAAAGACCTATTAACCTTGGGATAACTAAGTATATTCACTTCATAATTCAAAGTCAATACTCCAGAAATACGGCCCACCCAGAAAATTTTAAAAAAATATTAATACATATAATAATTAATGTTTTAATACTTTAAAATACTATACTTCGGGGGGCGGAGCAAGATGGCCGAATAGGAGCAGCTCCAGTCTCCAACTCCCAGCGCCAGCGACACAGAAGACCGGTGATTTCTGCATTTTCAACTGAGGTACTGGGTTCATCTCACTGGGGAGTGCCTGACGATCGGAGCTGGTCAGCTGCTGCAGCCCGACCAGCGAGAGCTGAAGCAGGGCGAGGCATTGCCTCACCTGGGAAGCGCAAGGGGGAAGGGAGTCCCTTTTCCTAGCCAGGGGAACTGAGACACACAACACCTGGAAAATCGGGTAACTCCCACCCCAATACTGCGCTTTAGGAAACAGGCACACCAGGAGATCATATCCCACACCTGGCCGGGAGGGTCCCACACCCACGGAGCCTCC